GGGTGTTGGCTAGGAAGCCCGACCTGAGAAGCTCCTCAGCAGGATCTTCTTGCCTGGCCAGCTCTGCTTTGCCGTCCGCTCCCTGACCTCTGCCTCGCTCAGGAACCTGATCACATTCTGTCTTCTGCTGTAATTTCCTTCAAGGCGAACACTGAACCTGCTGCTGCCTTTTTTTTTTTTTCTTTTTTTTTTAATCTCAGTCTGCTGCAGAGAGAAGGATGCAAGCTTTGGAGCCTGACAACAATGCTCTGAATACCAATGCTGCTTACTCACTGAATAAGCTTGGCCATGCCACAGGACCTCTCCGAGCCTCAGTTTACTCATTTGTAAAAATAGGGGTAATTCCTGCCTTACATTGTTGTGGAGATTTGCATAAATGCACACAGAGTACCTACCTAGCACAGTGCCTGGCACATTGAAGATACTCTCTGGCGGGTGCTCTACCATCTTATTCATTGCCCATGGCACCTAGATCAGTGCTAAGCTGTTGGTTTGATTTAATTAATCTTTGATTCACCCACAGCTCCTAGCATGGTGCCTGGCACAGAGGAGATGCCCTGTATATAGCTGCAAACCTGGAGAGAGCTAGAGAGGGAGAACCATCAAAACTGCATGATTTCGCCGAAACTGGTTTGGCTCAGTGGTAGAGCATCGGTCTGCGGACTGAAAGGTCCCAGGTTCGATTCCGGTCAAGGGCATGTACATTGGTTGCGGGCACATTCCCGGTGGGGGGTGTGCATGAAGCAGCTGGTTGATGTTTCTCTCTCATCAACGTTTCTAGCTCTCTATCTCTCTCCTTTCCTCTCTGTAAAAAATCAATAAAATATATTTAAAAAAAAAAAAAAAACACTGCATGATCTCATGCGAGAGCTCTCCTCCCATACACCCTCAAAGCAGATCTCTGAGTCTCCCATTGTCTTGGTCTCTCCAGAGGTCAAACTCAGTGGCAGCTTCACCTAGAGGGCTCTCAGAAATGGGAGTTTGCAACATCAGAAGATTCTAATGTAATCACTGATAATGAAAAGGTTCTTCTTCCCCAAGCCTCAAGTGAGTCAGAGCTCTGTGCTTGGCTTTGCCCCAGGGAGTGCCGAGAAAATAAAATATCATCTGTATCCTCATGATACCTAAACAAACGGTCAAGACCATCGGTCAAATATCAGCCAGGCGGAGTTAAGACGCATCTCCAGTGAAGAGAGGGGAGGAACAGCAAGGAAAGGGCCATTAGCAAAGGTTGCTTTAGTAGGGTCCTGGTACATGGCTGCTATTAAAGCTAATACCTGTTTGCCTTGCGGTGGGGTGTTTGTTTTGTCTTCGAGAAAGATACCGGTAAATGACAACATGTCTGAAATCTACAAGGGTTTTGAACCTCTGGATATGGCTCAATAATCTCTTCCACATCCTGACACTTGAATGAAGACATAAGGTCTCATCTAAGTAATACACTTTTCTCTTTCAAACAAGTATAAACCAACGCTGAATCTCAGATTTGCTCTTTTTATTTTCCTGGCCTTTTGCCACCACAGGAAAATACCTGATGGGCTGAGTTTTCACACTGCAGCTTGTTATTGTGATTATGTAGACACAGCCTTTATGAATTCAATGGTGTGTTGCTGGCTGTTCAATAGCTGGTGAGATTAGTGCCCAGGGAAGTGGGAAATGGGCCACCACCATCGAAATGTGGGCTCAGGGCTTGCTCTCCATTCTGTCCCACTCCTCCTTTCCTACATCCCTGCCTTTGTGTTAATTGCCAGCTCTTGCCCGATTTACTGGCATTCTCTACCTCCTCCCACTCCCGCTTGGAGTAAACCAGTTTAAGCCACCCAGGACCAAAAACAATCTCTCCTCTTCATAAAGACCCTTGGCAGAGAGTTGTCCCAGTCTCACACCCCACTGTGTAAGTCATGAGTAGCTGTCCTATGTGGCTTCCCTCTGGGGCAGAGGCAGGACCACAGCTCTGTGAGCCCTGGAAGCTCTGTTTGATGACCAGCTCTGCACCTGACTAGCTGTGGGAGCATACCACTTGCCACTGCCTCCTGGGCCTCCTCCAAAATGGAAAATGGGCAAGTGAGGTTCTAATATCGATAGTTCTTGAAGAATAAAGTCACCATACATCTGTGAATCTCTTATTTTAAAATATTAAAAAAAAAAAAAACTTAAGCCAGTTTAATTAAAATAGAAAAATTTCAGAGCTGTCTCCACTTCAGATATCTTAATCTCATGGAATCCCTTGAAATTGTGTGTTTTGTGCACATTTATGAGAAGATATTAAAACCTTAGGTATATAATAACCACCTAACCCCTGCCCCCAAATATATTGTGTAAATTAAATAAAAAGAAATTTAGAACCTTCCTCTAGGTCAGTGGTTCTCAACCTTTCTAATGCTGTGACCCTTTAATTTTGCTACTGTTATGAATCGTACTGTTTTCCAGTGATTGTACGTGACCCTGAATAGCATCCCACAGGTTGAGAACCGCTGCTGTAAAGCCTAAGACCATCAGAAAACACAGTTGTTTACATTATGATTCATAACAGTAGCAAAATTATAGTTATGAAGAAATAACGAAAATAATTTTATGGTTGGGGGTCACCACAACATGAGGAACTGTATTAAAGGGTTGCGGCATTAAACAGGTTGAGAACCATTGCTCTAGGTTGAGGAGCCTAAATGTCAGTCACCCTGAGTGATTTCCTGGTTTCCTAGCCCTGAATATCAGGTTATAGTGGAGGTAGGAAAGCCTAGATGCAGGCTTGCAGACAGGAGTAAAAGAAAGCATGAGGCTTTACTTTTCAGTCTCCAGCTGTGACTGCTTATGAATCTGCCACATGTATACTGGTCATGTGACCTCAGGAATATACAAATGTTCTCTAAATCATGGTTTTCTCACCAGTCAATGGAGAATGGTTATACTTCTCTCAAAAGGGTTGTTGTGAAGAATAAAGGGGAATTCGTAAGTGCGTGGCTGGCTATCAGTAAGAGCTCAATAAATGTGGGTTCCCTCCCAGCACGAGTAGCTCAGGGTCCCAAAAATTGACTATTTGGAAGACTGTGCCTTCTATAACAATCAATCCACCCCCTATCTCAAATTTACATTGGAATAGTCCTATGAAAAACCACATGTAAGTGCCTCAAAAAATTAAAAGCAGAATTACCATATGATTCAACAACTCCACTTCTGGATATATGTCCAAAACAAATGAAAATAGGAACTCAGAACTGTGTCCCATGTTCATTGCATCATTATTCACAATAGTCAAGATATGGAAACAACCTAAGTGTTCATCAACTGATGGGTAGATAAAGATGTGGTGTATATACACAGTGAAATTTCATTCAGCCATGAAAGAAGGAAATCCTGCCATTTGCAACAACATAGGTGAAACTTGAGGGCATTATGCTAAGTAAGTTAGAACAGACATGCTGTATGAGATCACCTATATGTAGAATCTAAAAAAGCTGAATTTATAGAAACAGAATTGAGTGGTGGTTACCAGGGGTTAGGAGAGTAGGATGGGAAGATGTTGGTCAAAGGGCACAAGCTTCCAGTTATAAGATGAATAAGATCTAGGGGTCTAATGTACGGCATGGTGATTATACTAGCACAAGGCAGAAAGGCGGGGGAGGGGGAGAGGAGACCAACAACTAATCTAGATTCCCCAAGTCCTGTCCCCTGATGCCAAGAGGTCTCTTACCCTCACCATCACCATCCTCACCCCCAGATAACCCACTACTAGCTTGTTCCTCATTTCTTTCAATTACTGACTCAAATACCATTTCAGTGACATCCTGAGCACCCATTCAAAATTTAAAATGCCACCCCCCTATACACACCCCATTCTATTTCCCCTCTACTTGCCATATTTTCTCCTTGATATCTGTCAGCATAGGACACCCCTCATTTGCTTGCTTTTTTAATGACTGTTTCCTCCCACTAGGATGTAAGCTCCTAGGGGTCTTTGTCTATCATTGGTTCAATTGCTATGCCCACAGTGCCTAGAACAGAACCCAGGGCAGGTGGTGGGCACTTAGTTAATCTGTTGAATGAATGACTGAGTGTCTAAGTGAATAAGTGAGTGAATGAATGAAGAGAAGCCTTGGCTTTATTTTCATAGAGAGGTAAAGGATGGAGGTTGGTCTCAGATCTGACTCAAGTCCTTCCCACCTGCCTAACCTAGGCATTCTTCCTCTTTCAGGTGCCACACAAGTTGCCATATCCCGCTAATTCTGGGGGTTGACTCCAGACACCATCCTATTTAAAGGTAAGCACCCCCACCCCACTTTTTAAAATGAGGAGTAAATAGAAGGGAAAAGAGCCTCAGCGTGCCCCCTGGGGATGGGGCGTAGGGGAATTCCCACGCTCAGGTCGTTCTTTTTGCCCACCCCCTCATCCCCACCCCCACTCACACACATACACACACCAGGCTTGCCGTGGGGTGGGGGGGGGGGGGGGGCGCACAGCTAGCTAACCTGGGTGGCGGCGTCGGGGCTGCGGGCGCCTTGGCTGGACCCGCATTGCCCCCTAGTGCCGCGCGGAGTCAGGGCGCCGGGCTCCCCCGCCTGATGTCACCAGCGTGCAGTCAGCCCAGAGGCGGCTCATTGAAAGCGGACCCTCCTCGGCGCTGGCTGGGCGGAGACGCTGCTGCCCGCAGACCCGCAGCGGGCGAGCCCGCCTGGAGCCCGCGCCCCCCGCCCGCGCCCCTCCTCCCGCCGCTCCGCTCCCCGCTCCCCCGCGAGCCCAGCCGGCGCGCCTGACGTGGACCATTAACTTGGAGCTGCCGCCTCTCCCCTCTCCTCCTCCCTCTGACAGGCACAGGCGAGCGAGGAGCAGCGCGGTGCAGGAGACGCACTGCCGGCTGCTAGGGGAGATGCCTCCTCGCCAGGAGGGCGCCTCTGGGAAGAAGCCCACCGCGGGGGAGGCAAAGTTTCAGGGCAGCTGAGGAGCCTTCCCCCGCAGCCCTTCCAGCCCTATCCACCCCTTGGCTATGGAGGGCGGACTCTAAGATGAATCCCGACCTGGACACCGGCCACAACACATCAGCACCTGCCCACTGGGGAGAGTTGAAAAATGCCAACTTCACTGGCCCCAACCAGACCTCCAACAACTCCAGACTGCCCCAGCTGGACATCACCAGGGCCATCTCCGTGGGCATGGTGCTGGGCGCCTTCATCATCTTTGCCATCGTAGGCAACATCTTAGTCATCTTGTCTGTGGCCTGCAACCGTCACCTGCGGACACCCACCAACTACTTCATCGTCAACCTGGCCATCGCCGACCTGCTGCTAAGCTTCACCGTGCTGCCCTTCTCGGCTGCCCTGGAGGTGCTGGGCTACTGGGTGCTGGGCCGGATCTTCTGTGACATCTGGGCCGCCGTGGACGTCCTGTGCTGCACCGCCTCCATCCTGAGCCTGTGCGCCATCTCCATCGATCGCTACATCGGGGTGCGCCATTCGCTGCAGTACCCCACGCTCGTCACCCGAAGGAAGGCCATCTTGGCGCTCCTCAGTGTCTGGGTCTTGTCCACAGTCATCTCCATCGGGCCTCTCCTCGGGTGGAAGGAGCCAGCACCCAACGATGACAAGGAATGCGGGGTCACCGAAGAACCCTTCTACGCCCTCTTCTCCTCGCTGGGCTCCTTCTACATCCCGCTGGCGGTCATCCTGGTCATGTACTGCCGGGTTTACATCGTTGCCAAGAGGACCACCAAGAACCTGGAGGCCGGGGTCATGAGGGAGATGTCCAACTCCAAGGAGCTGACCCTGAGGATCCACTCCAAGAACTTTCACGAGGACACTCTGAGCAGTACCAAGGCCAAGGGCCACAACCCCAGGAGTTCCATAGCTGTCAAACTTTTTAAGTTCTCCCGGGAAAAGAAAGCAGCCAAGACCTTGGGCATCGTGGTTGGGATGTTCATCTTGTGTTGGCTACCCTTCTTCATCGCTCTACCACTTGGTGAGTTGGGGGCTTGGAGGAGGGGCTGTGGGCATTTTCTGATCTTGGCTTTACTGATGAGTTTACTGCAAAGTTTTCTTTTTTTTGGGGGGGAGGGGGACAGGTTGGTGTGGTTGTTGTTGTTTTTTTCAGTCTGTGAGTGTTTGGAGATTAAAGAATACTGTTTGTTCTGCAAAGGCTTTGCAGATTGGATAGCTGGCTAAGAACCAACTCAGGTGTTAGTGGAACATGCTAAGGTACTAGCCGCTTGAAATAGAGCCACAGGAGGAAAATCTGGTATGCGGAATGATTCATTCAGCAGCCTCAGTTTAATAATTAAAAAGGCCACTGGACTTGAACATCACACCGGCGTTATTTCAGTAGTAATCATGTGTCAGCTAAGGCAGCCCCACGAATGCAGCATACAAAGTAGTTTGTAGTTACCGCAGACGCGGCACTGGAGAGCAGGGAGGCAGCTCGTACACAGAAAGGCGGTTTTCATTCAGCATTTCCAGGGCTCTTTGCAGAGAGCCCCACGCTGCTCTCGAGCTTTGCAGAGGCTGCGTGCTCCCCCTCCTCCCGGCACGGCTTCATTATGAGTTAATAAGATCATTTTACAGTCACACAGCCCCAACTTGCCTGTAAGTTATCTAAAGCCTGAGATTTGAAAGAAAAGGAAGATGACCTGAGGATCACATATTCTCAGTTTTCACCCAAAAATGCTCCTAATTCTGGTGATTTATGAAATGACCAGAATTGAATTATAAGTCATCCCTCACCATTAACTGCCAGACACCAAATCCTGCTAGGATGAAATTGTGTCCTTCCCCTCCTATAAAAACATGCCCATCTTTTTTTATTTATTTATTTATTATTTTTTTATTTCTTTACTTTTTTATTTTGGTGGTCCTACTGAGTTATTCAAAGGCTACCTGACTGATTTCTTCTAAGGAAGAAGAGGTCTGGTTAAGAGGCAAATCTAGAGCAGAGTGTGACATGCTATCCACACGGGCTGGGAAACACTTGTCCCCTCCTCTGAGGCACTGATCTGCTTTGATTTCTTCTCCTATCTCTGGGGGAACGCTTCAGAAAAATGAATGGAGGGAGGCGATCACGGCAAAGTCATGTGCCGTGGTATCAGAAGACGTAGCAACTGCTATATGTCATGGACCACACATGCCTGCAGTCACACCAGAGGCTCAGTTAGAACCTTACACGACCAAATTCCTCAAGTGACTACAATTCTGAAGACATGCTGCTTTAAAAGACAGAGGCAAATGGAAAGAAAGCAAACTGATATCAGGAATTGCCCTTTAAAAAAGATAAAGGAAAAAGGCTGTTTAACCTACTCTCCACGTTTTCATTTCTAAAGCCTGGCTAATGCCATTACGAATATTTTCAGTGTTTTCAGAGGAAAGGGTTAAGCTCGAGTGATCACATCCCACTGCAGAGAAGCTTTCTGTTCTTTCCCAAGGTCTCAAGGTCCTTTCGCAGGCTTGTCAGGTTAAAGTGAATGACGATTCACACTGCATTGGGCCATTCAAAGCTCCTAGTTGTATGTGGAAGTGATTTGGCCACGTATCATTAGCTAAGCGACCTGGGCAAAGACAGCTCTTCTGTGAGCCTGAGTTTCTTCATCTGCAAAATAGACCTGTTTACGATTTGCTCCATGGGGTTTGCACTAATGCATGGAAGGGATTTAATGCAGTGTCTGGTGCACAGCAAATGCTCAAGGAAAGTTAGCTGTTGGTACTACAAACCCAACCCAAGTCACCCCTCAGCTATAACTGTGTATTTCCTCCTTCTCTACTCATTTGCCAGTCCCCACACCTGTTACTAAAGGCTCAGAAAAGAACTGGGCCTTTCTACTCCTGCTCACTGGAGGCTATGACTAGAGTATCCTCAGGAAGGAGCAGGCCCCAGCAGGATGCAGGGATGGATCAAAGGGGCAGGCGCCCACAGTAGTTGGGCAAGGGAAACAGCTCCAAATAGGTGAAGAGGCTGCTGGCATGTTGGAATGCTCTGGGAGTCAGGAGGAGTCTAGTCTTTTTATGCATTGCTCTGAGGATCAGGAGCCATCTAGTTTTCATGTGAACTTTGCCATCATGTGACCTTAGGATTGTTGCCTTACCTCGGTGGGCTTCAGAGCTCACTTTCAAAGAACCACAGGGTTCTAGATCAAGGGCTCGAAAACTTTAATAAACATCAGAATCATCTGTAGAACCTGATAAAACATTCAGCTTCTTAGGCCTAACCCACCGACACTCTGACTCAGTAGAACATATGAATTCCAGGAGCCCAAGTGGTGATTCTGAAAAGGTGGCCCGCCAACCAGGCTTGGAAAGCCACTCCTGGGACCCTATCCAGACTGCTGGAGGCCATGGTTTTACACAGTGTGAAGCCTTGTCCTTCTCCAACCACAGGCGGTGTAGGATGATATGGCTGCTCTCTGGGACCTGCTCTTCAGGACCACCCTCAGTTGTTTCTTACTCCCACCCTCCTCACTTTCCCCCTTTCTGTTGATGCCTTCCTGAGACATCCCCATAACAGCTTCCACACCACAGAAAGTGAGACGTGCTTGACACCATGATGCTCTCAAAGCTCCTCTCTCCTATCCTTGCCATAAAAACTTTCTGACCATCCATGCCATTATCTCCCAGAGAGGTCCGAGTGAGCTGCCCCTGAACTGACCCCACCCACATCCTCTCCTCCAGCCCCCTCGCCTTAGCAGATGAGGAATATGGACTCCAGGCTTTGGGTTTGAAAAGGTACACAAGTGCTTCAAATAGAGAAGGTGCTTAATTAACATGTTCTTAATAATTCAGCAAGAGCATCCAAGCAAGCCGTAGATGTGGATTTCTACTTTCTCTGAGTTCAAATAACACCCAAATAAGAGTAGCATGATGTAGAAACAATAACTCCTTTGGAATCTGAAGAAGGTTCCAAACTCTAAATTTTCCATGAGAGACTTTCTACTCATAAGGAGAGAAAGCAGATCTGAGAGGACAGTGGTTGGCAAACACAAGTGCAGGTAGGAGTAACTTCCAGTTGGCGATAAGGGCCTGGATGGCAGGAGATTTCCATAGCTGTGTTTGTCTTCTCAGTGGGAGAGGAGGGTTTGATATTCCTCTTGGGAAAGAGGGAAAATAACCATGCCCCCTGCAGGGTCCTAGTTAGGAGCCCCATTTGTTTACCCTCCTCCCTTATTTTTATTTTTGGAAGCAGGGTTGGGCTGCCTCTCATCTCCTGTGGAGCCCTCCCCACCTGCAACACCCTCCCTATCTCCTCCCTACCCTTTTCCTGTGGCCTCAGACCAAGTAGGGCCAGGGACCAGCTCTCACTTACTCTGGAGCAGGGATAGACTCCACCAAACAAGGACCTCTTTATTTGGTCCTTGGAATCAGGCCATGGAGAGTCAGGAAATAATTGGAATATAATAGAGCAGCATTTCTACTCATTTGGGTCATGTACAAGATGTTCAAGGAATCTTCACCTGCCCAGTATTATCATGAAGGTCAGCTCCCACCTGCCTGGGGAGGGCCTGGACAGGGTCTCAAGAAATGACTGGGCTATTGAGGGAAGTGCAATCCATTGGGGGAAAGGATGGGATTGGGAGGGGGTAGCAGGAAGTGCTGGGCAGCCAACTAGTAGCTGGGTTTAGTGTGCTGTTTAGAAAACACTGGAACCTTGCCTTGCTCCAAATCTTTCTTCCATCTTTTAAAATGCTAAAAGGCCCCAGGAAGCCCTTATTGAACTAACTGCTTTCCCCTTCAAATAAATGAAGGTCTATTTCAAAGAAGCAGTTGTGTTCTCTATAGCATTGGAACCAAATAGGAATTCCTCTCTCCATTGATTTGTTTCTCCAGTCTTCTCATTCCAAGTGGGGCTGATGAATCCCCACCTCACACAGGAGCATACAGGAGGTAGGGGTCTCAAAGGTGACTCAGGACAAAGCCTCCCCCACAAACACAACTAATCCTCCAGCTCGGAGGTTTCAAAACACACGGATTTGAGTTGCTCACAAGGAAAGCAGTTGGTTTGAGTTAGGAGAAATTTTCACATACAGGGAATCCTTCCTGCAAGAGGGAAATCCTACAGAAGGAAAATACATTTGACCATTAATGAAATTATTAATAAAGACTTTCTAAAGCACCTACTAGGTACCAAACACTATGTTAATTACTGGGTGGTTGAGCCAAAAATAAACATGGCTCCTGCCTGCAGGAGGATTACAGCCTAGTGGCATCATACTAACATGGAACACATCTTATAAACCAGACATTCTGCTAGGCCCTCAACAGACATTATCTCATTAATCCTTATAGGGGAGAGTAATTGCTCCCTCTCTATAGAGGAACATCTTGGAGCTCAGAGAGGTTAATCTTCCTGCTCAGGGTCACACAGCAAGTAACTGATGGTGCTAAGAGTTGAATCCACGTCTGTCAGAGCAGGCACATACCTATTCCACTGCATCCAGGAGATGTCTGTCCTTTCTGCTCTGTGGTTCCAACCTTCTCTCATAGCAATTGGTCTCCAGGAAACCCAGAGCCACCTGTCAAAAGTGTGTTATTGTACTTCTGTTACAAAGCCATACCTTTCTCCCACTCTTCACTCACTCTCATAAAACATCAGAGAAGTTCATCCAACATCCTTGAATATCTAGCTAGATCTTCTGCACACCTCTTGCACTGTATAGGATGTGAGTGTTTCAAGGATGGGCCTTTCATCACCCCAGCCCAAAGGAAAAAAGTGGCGCCTGGCCCTTCCTCTAGGCCCTAGAGGCTAGGGTTCTAGCTCTACATATTTAATCATTCATTCATTCACTTCACTGAATAAGTATGTATTTTTTGCATGCCCACTATTATGATAAGTGACTTGAAGAAATGGGGTGAGATGCTATTTGAAGTCTATAATGGGAATCAGGGTATCATAGGGGTCCCTGAATGGCATTTAGGGAGAACACCGGACAGTTCGGAGGAGCTAATTCAGTGAAGGGGGCCAGGTAGAAGGAGATGAGTGTA